CATAACTAATGTTTTAAATAAACGAACCATGACTTCATCCACATTTTGCACCTGCTTCTCCCACGCGGAGCACACACAGGGTTTTTCAGAGCTTTTTCTCTAGAAGCATCCACAGTGCTCTAAAATCTCCAAACCAACTCTTGTCAGAGAGGAAATCATCTGAAAATGGATTCACCATCAGGTGACAGGGTCAAAATATCACCCAAGGATATTTTAGATTGATAATCAAACTCAGGAGAGGGAGCAGAGTGGCCCACAAGAATGCCGCCTTCTAAATTTCCTCTGCACTATCCAGAACCTTCTGTCATCCCGTCAGCAGTGATAACAAGCCACCAGCTAGTTCTTCTGATCTCACTCATCGTAGGGACTGTAATTGTTGTTGTGTACTGTCAAGTGGGAACACACACATAGCTGACCCTCCAGGATGTCCTCAGAGGCAACTGATCACATGGGAGGGGATTGTCCATCCTTCTCCCCCAGAGAAGCTGGTGGATTTTAACCTCATGCCTTTCAGATTGCCTCACAATTTTTCACCACCAGGTCACCAGAGCTCTTATAGTTATTGTTAGGGGCCATCGAGTGACCTGTGAGCAGAGAGATCAGATGTGTACCTTGCCTAGCCTGTACCATTCCCATGATCTCTCATATGCTCGGTTCCATTATTCTAGTCACTGTGTCAATCCATCTTGTTGAGGGTCTTGGTATTGATTTGTCCATCCTGGTGTTGATTTGCCCATTGGTAATTAATGCAATTGTAACTATTTGTGTGGGTGACTTACCTTGGTGTTGTGGTGAGTGAAAAGTAAATGGGTCAGCCCCTGAGATCTGCCGCTCACAAGTAAGGAGGAGTATTTGCAATCATTTTGTTCTGTTACACATGCAGTTACTACAGATGAGCGCTGACCCGACAGTGCTAGATAAGGGGCAACCGTCATCTGAGGAGACTGTGCACCACAGGATGAGGCATTACACGGCGTCCTGGGCCCTATTCCCATGCCCCACCTCTTCTTTGTTTATATACATACATATATTATCATACATTAACCACATTTACACATCAAGGTTCCGGATATGCCTGCCTACTTCTCAGAAATAATTATTTGGGGGGGTTTGTTTTTTTTAAACTGTGGTTTGATTGAAAGTTTACACAGCAAATCAACTTTCCATTCAACCATTCAAACACATTTTGCTTTATCACTGAGCTAATCTGTTTCATGGAGAATACTGCCTTCTAATAGGTAGAATGATAATAGGAATAATATCTGATGACAGAAGTATTTAGCACCCAATCTTTTTTTCTATGCCAATAGCCTATATGCCTATTTCAATAAACAAATAAAATTATTTGAGCTCAGAAAAAGACCAGAAAAGCGGCGTGATGGAGAGGCCCAAGCACCCAGCTGGAAGTCAAAAGAGGAGGCCTGGGTCTCAGCTCTGCCCACTGACGTGACCATATGCCACTCAAAACCACTCTGGACTTCTGATGACGCCAGCCCACAAAGGTCAGATGAAGTGTATCCGAGATTCAACAGGAGTATTTTGGCTCAGGCTGCCGTGGCTAACCTCCCTCCCACTTCCACTCTGTCGTCCTGATGCCCTCACTCGAGGTCCCAAAGCCAGCTAGGGCGAGAAGTGCAGCGCGATCCTGGCCTTGATCCCCTGCTCCTTCATCACACCATGTTCACCCCTTCTTTGGAGCTTCCGATAAAGAGCTAGTTGAGTTCCCTCCTTTCTCTGCTGCCTCTGGGCCCAGCATCTTTCAACCCTTCCCTGTCTTCTATCCGGGCAGAGCTGTGCACCACATTCCCCACCTCCCTCCAGCAAGTGAATCCCCACTACCAAGAAGAGATAGAGAGCCTGCTCAGGCCACGACCAGATGTTCCTTCAGAGCCTGTGACAGACACTTCTCCTCTCAAACAGCCCAGAGCCCTAAGCTTGCTGAATTGATAAGAGAAAACTTCTCCGGGATAAGATCTTCTCTAAGATCTGGAAGACTCCAGCCACTTTGAGGATAGGAAATACCAATTTTAAGCCATACTGCACATGTCATAGTAATTACGATACTAATAGGGAACTCTGAAGAGAAATCTGTGGTGAGTTGCATTGTCAGCCCTGAGGCTGAGCCTCTACAGGGGTTCCATGTAGGAGAAAGGAGGGCAGTCTCCTCCCATTAACATTTACAGCCTCAGTAACCTGATGGGGCACTTGCTGTGAATCAAAAAGGACCCAAAGGCAGTGAGGCTTTCGAGTAATGACACTAATATTTATTAAGCATGATTTTCTAGACGTAGTATTACTCACTTTAAGGTATAACTTCATCTTTTAGTTCTCACAATAACAGAATGAGAATGAGTGATATTCCCATTCCATAGATGGGACACTGGAGGCAAAGAGGGATCATTTTCCCAAGCACCAGAGGGGCAGCCTCGGCCATGTGGCTCCAGAGCATTCCTGAGCACCAGCTCTCCTGCTGGTCAACCTCCTTCAACTCGTCCATTCATGTTACTAGAACTGACTCACAGCTGACACCTCTCCCCAAGGAAGTTTTTAGAGGCCATTGATCACATAGGAGTAGACTGCCCATCCTTCTCCCACAGAGCAGCTGGTGGAGTTGAACCACGTGTCTTTGTGTTGGCAGCACAACTCCTTACCACAAAGCCACCAGACTCCCTTCGAATCAGACATGTGCAAACAGCGGGGCGTCTCAGGGTGGCTCTGAAAGAGCGACCCCTCCTCCTAACTCCCAGGACTCAGTCCTCGGGGACAAGGGTCACCTTTTCAACTCCTTGTAGTGTGCTAAGCTCTGTGTTTATCAGTTCTGCTTTTTCCAAGGCAAACCTCTATTTGCAAATAAAATTTTTTTTACAACATTCCTCTTTGAAAGCTGGCAGCCTCTCTGAGTACTAGCCAAAAAAAGCACCTCTTCAGTCAAAGAGGCAACCACCAGGTGCTACTGCTGAGGACATGTACTGAGTGAGGGCCCACGCGTGCCAGCCACCCTGAGTTAATGTCTTGTCTGTGAGCTGGCTCCTTTAAACTCAGACACACTGTGTGTGCTTGATGACTAGGCCTGCAACTCCAAGTCCCCTGACCCCAGCCTCCTCCACTTGCACTCCTGTCCCCTTCCCCCCACCCCGAGGCTGGCGTGTGTAGGCCTCTGACTGATTTCTCCTGATGGGCAGTTCTGAGCAAGGACTAGACAGAAGATGGAGTCTAAGGTCGGTCTTCACTGCCTCTTCCCTACAGAGTCCCCTTGGGTTTTCTTCCACAAAGGCTACCACATTTCTAAATGTTAACTTGTCATTGATTCTCTCCTTCTGGGATATAGGAACCTTTCTCATAGGAATCTGAAAGCTTGTCCAAAGCTCCTCAGAATGCATTTCACAAGATCCCAAATCTTCTCTTAGTTCAAATCTCTTTCCTACATACTTATCATTAAAACTCTGCTATGCAGTAAAAAGGTTAACTCAACAGGCTGTGGGTATTAATATCCTGTGTTTTTCAAATAAAGGATTAGCCCTCAAACAAAATTTCAAAACTCTCTGGAGACAAGTTGGATCTTGACTCACAGTGACCTTTCATAGGGTATCCAGAGCTATAAACCTTGACAGGAGGACACTGTCCATCTTTCTTCCATGGAGTGGTTTGTGGATTTGAACTGCTGATCTATTGGTTAGCAGCTGGATACATTATTCACTATGTCACCAGAGCTCCATGGCCCTTAATCAGCTCCTGGGAAATAATCCTTAGAATATCCTGCCTGATAAGAGTGTCTTTGTATACTAGAGGGTCTTAGACAACATCAGACCGTTTATGCCAACAACAAGATTTCTTGTGGGGGCTCTGATCCATGCTGTATCAGGCTGACCTCTAAAGGGTCTAGAAATTATATAACTGAGGTTAGACATACGGGTCCTCAGGACCTGAGCTACAGACCCCAATAAAAACCCTGGGCATGAGACTCAGGTGAGCCTGCCTGGTTGGCAGTACTCTACATGTTATCATATCACTGCTCAAAGCCAGTGTTTTCTCAACAAATTCACTGGAAAAGGGTAACTAGAAGCTAGTGTGTGGTTCCTCCCGGATGCCACCTATGTCCTTCTATCTTTTCTGATTCCAATCTAAACCCTTTCACTGGGATAAAAATGTAACTACAGGGAGCTCTGGTGGCCTAGTGGCAAGAAGCAGCGCTAAGTCCAGAAGGCACGTGGTTCGAGGCCACCAGCTGCTCTGCGGGAGAAGGATGGGCAGTCTCCTCCCATGCGATTAATTGCCTCTGAAAACTAGCCGGAGGGTCAGCTCTGGGTCAGTTCTGACTCTACAGTACACAACAACAACAACAGGTACAATAGTTTTTGTTGTTGTTGTTGTGTATTGTTTTGTTTTGTTTTACTTCAGTGAGTTCTTCTGACAAATAGCTGAGCCTGAGGATGTCCTGGGGACTCCTGACTCACCTGGAATGCAGCACAACCTTTCAGTCTTAACTTCCTGCTAGGGTACTCTATCTATCATACAAGAAAACATGAATACATACATCCAGAAACATTTGCTAAACATCCCTGTGAATTAAGGATGGAGAAACCAGAGAGGTCCTCAGGACGTGTCATCATCTCAAGAGCCCCTGGGAGCCCCATACTGGCCAGGACCAAGAAGATGTGGAAAAGATAGAAAGAGATACAATCAGGACCCAACCTCTGGGGCTTCTATTGAAGTGAGTTGAATGAACGAGAAGATCAATTCAATGTGATCATTCTCATCCATTTGTGTTATATACTTTCTTTCTACCTCAAGTTTTGGAAAAATATCTGAATCCAAGAGAAAATAAAGCAAGAAGAGGGGAAAAAAATACCAGGAATTTCAAGTTAGCGTGTTTCCCTTTCAAGCATAGTGCCACCAGCTTCAGGCCACACTCCGTGTGACTTTGCAGATGTGGACGGGTGTATCAGAGCGAGCCCCTGCTTGGCCCTCCAGCCCCCCACGCCAGCTGCAGCCCCACTCACCTGGCCCCGCTGACATCCACTCCGACCATCAGCTGCCCGTTCAGGGAGAGGATCTCGTCCCGCAGCCGGACCTTCCCGCTCTTGCCCGCGGGGCTGTTCTTCCTCAGCTCTGTCACCCAGATGCAGCCCACATCCAGCACGGGGCCCTGGTGGGTTTTCCGCTTCTTGCCCCCTCGGCGCTTTTCACCGTAGTCCCCGAAGACGGGGATGTTGCCGAAGCTGAGGCCCACTGTCTCCGCGTCCCCTAGCTCCTTGGTGAGGTACACCGTGCAGATCTCCATCTCGGGGAGCCTGAGGTCGGCCGGCACCACGCTCTCGTCCACCGCGAAGTTGAGCTGGATGTACTCCTGCAGCTTCTGGATGGCAGCCTGGCACAGGCGCTGCTCTGGCCCGGCCCCGCCCTCCCGCAGGCTCCTCTGCAGCCACTGGCACAGGAGGGGCAGGTGCAGCACGGCATTGTCCTGTGTGATGGGCATGGTGCTCACTCCGGCCTGCCCACGTCACGCGCGGACCAGCGCCCGGGAGCCGGGCCCGGCGGGGCCCCATGCCTCTGGGGAACCCTGGCTGGCATGAGCTTCCTCTGTGTTCATGTTCAGGCCGGCAGGCAAGCCCGCAGACGCCTCCTCGGGACTCGAGGCTGTTGGCTTTGGCAGGAGGAGGACAGTGCACAATTAGAACAATCCCTCCGGAGTGCTCAGCACACAGAGGAAGGAAGTGTCCCCCAAGTTCTTGCTTGGCTCATTGAACAGCAGGGCCCCAGCAAAGGACATGGACATGGGGGCGTCCACCAGTAGTCATGACATGTCCTTCCTGGCCTCATTCACATCTGGGAAAAGAAGGGGGGGGGGGGACAAAATTCAGTCACTAAGGTGAGCTTCTGACAGGGGCCACCTGGCCTTCTCTACTATAGATGATAGAGATTACAGAGATTATAGATGATGCAGACAATAGAGGGACTAGAGATGACAGAGCTGATGGGGGGATAAAGATTTTAGATGATACAGATGACAGATATTATAGACTACAGATTATATGATAGACTATTAGAGATGACAGAGATTCTAGATGATGCAGATGACAGACTGTAGACGACAGAGATGAAATGGGCAATAAAGGTTTTAGATGATACAGTTGATAGAGATATTACAAATGACAGAGATTATAAATTACAGGGATCATAGCATAGAGCTAGTACAGATGATAGAGCAATTACAGATTACACATGGCATATATTACAGAGGATAGAGATATTTTAGATTATAGAGATATTACAGATAGAGATTGTAGACAGTTGAAATTCAACTCAATCCTGTTGAGTCCGAACCAACTCATAACTAAGCTTCCAGCACATTCTCTGAGGCTGTAAACTGCCAAGAGAGGAGATTGCCCATTGATTGCCCCTTGAAGCTGTACATTGATATGAACCACCAGTGAGGCCAGCTCTCTGAGAAGGCAGCATTACTTACTACAAACTATGTCACCAGAGATCCTTTTAAAGGTGACAGGGAAATGATAGATAATAGAGACTATAAGTGATAGAAATATCATAGATTATATACATTATAGGTAATAAATATTTTTTATGATAGAGATTATAGATGATTATATACATTAGTTGGAAGCAGGAGTGGCATCCACTTCCTAAATAACATGCCTCCGGAAACTCTACGAACTTTGATAAATGTTGATTGTTGTAGAACGGCTTCAGGACTTTTGTTCATAGGGTCGCTATGAGTCACGGTCGACTTGAAGACAATCAACAACATATACAACAGAGGTGGCGCTGGCTTTCAATTCCCCAAGTTTGAGCCAGGGCCGTGTGTGTGTGTGTGTGTGTGTGTGTGTGTGTGTGCACGCGCGTGTCTGGGTATACACACACACACATACACTCATACATACTCTTCTCTCAGATAGAAGTTTCTGGAAAGCTGATCTCCTCCAGGAAATTCCCCTTTTAGCAATGAAATTAGATGACTTCTGCCAGAGTAACCCCCAACAATAGAGCAACAAACTTACATACAATAAGGAAGTGAGCTAAGTGGCAAGGTCCTTTAAGACTGTAGAAGAGATTTCAGCATATTTAAAAGCCTGTATCCCTCACTCAGCTCTCACTTGGTATACATCTGAGAGCTGAACAATGAATAAGGATGACAGAAGAACTGATACCTTTGAGCTGTGGTGCTGCAGAAGAGCACTGAACAGCCAACGGACAGCCAAAAGAACAAACAAATAAGTCTTGGAAAGGGTACTGCTGGAGTGTTCTTTGGAGGCAAGAATGACGAGGCTTCGTCTCATATACTTTGGGTATGTTGCTAGAAGGAGGCTGTTCCTTGAAGACAGACATGATGTTGGGAAGGGTGGAGGGTCAGCGAAGGAGAGGGAAACCCTCAACCAGGTGGACTGACAAGGTGACTGCCACAATGGTTCTAGTGGCTCAGGACGTGTGAGGATGGTACAGGATAGAACAGGGTTCACATCCATTGTTCATAAGGTCGCTGTGAGTCATACATGACACGACAGCACCTAACAACCACATCGCTCGCTCACTCACTCATTGCTGTTGAGTTGGAACTGAATCCTAGTTGACTCTCCAGTGGGTTTTCAGAGGTTATTGGATTCGGCTTTATATTTAAAAAGGCATTTGGCTGCCAGTCTGGGGCTACCTTCCAGCCTGAGAAGATGAGCAGAGTGGCTAGATTCTGCAAAGGTGTGTTTTCTGCTTTGGGGTTGAGACTTGGGAGTGGCTGTTGCTCGCAACTGGGTGTGAGCTGATTGGATCTGGCCTCATATTTAAAAAGACACTTGTTTTGGGGAAGTTCTCAAATAAAATAAGCTTGGAAGCGGGAGTGGCATCCACTTCTGGAATAGCCTGCCTTCTGAAACTTGATGAACCTAGACAAAAAGATGAAAGTTTTTCAAGTTCAAGACTTTGGTTCATAGGGTCGTTATGAGTTGTCTATGACAACAATAAGCACAAGAGAAAACTGTCCATCTTTCTCCTGTGGAATAGATGGTGGATTCAAACCATGTGTCTTTTAGTTAGCAGGACACTTCCTTACCACAACTCCCTCTTGTATCCCTAGGGAGCTATTAAAAAAAAAATAAATCTTCATTTCCCTTGATGAACTCTAATGCCCACACAGGAAGACTTTCTAACCCAGAACTCTGTTCAGATAACACTACAAAGAAAAGAAAGAGCTAACCAAGACCAGGCAGACTGAGCTCTGCCTGAGAGCACCAAGTCCATAGGCAGCACCACTTCCATCTCTATCACGCAAATTAAGAGGGAACCCCGGGTCTTTTTTCCTCCCATAAACAGTCCAAAGTTACCTACTTTAGATCAGTCCAAATGCCATCCCCTGCGTGGCAACACTTCACCCTACTACATTGTTTGCTCCCCCCCTTAAGTATCTTTCAAAATTATTATTATTGTTATAAAATAATGAAACAAAATTAAACCTCCTAACATTAATCTGTTCTTCATTCCTTCTCATTGCCATCGAGTTGGAACCAACTCATAGCTGATTCCCCAGGAGTTTTTCACAGGCTGTATATCACATAGGAACAGATTCGTCCCGGAGAGGGTGAAGCCAGGCTGCTCCTTGGAAGCAAGGATTCTGAAGCTCTATCTGACATACTTTGGACATGTTGCAAGGCGGGATCAGTCCTTGGGGAGGGACATCATGCTTGGGAGGGTGGAGAAACAGCAAAGAAAAGGAAGACCCTCGATGAGATGGTTTGATTCAATCACTGGAATAATAGGAATAGGGGTGTTGGAGACAGTGATATTGGCAAGGGATAGAACAAGTTTTAGAGCTATTTTACATATAGGGTAGCTGAGTCGCAGGTGACTTGACGGCACATAACAACAACAATATCACATAGGAGGAGATTGTGCATCTTTCTCCCATCGAGCAGCTGATGGATTTGAACTGCCTGTCTTTGGGTTAGCAGTGCAACTCCTTACCATCCTGGCCACCAGAGCTTTCTTCTGTACTAATGGAAATGAATTACATTCACACTATTGTATAGCCATCATCACTACCTATTTCCAAAACTTCTTAACATTCTTAATTTGTACAACTATCATTAATTATAATCACATTTTTATATAACCAACACTACTACATATTTCCAAAACTTTTCATCCCCCCAAACAGAAACTCTGTGCCATTAGCTAAAGCTCCCCATCACCCCTTCCAGACTCAGCCCTGGGAAACTCCTAAATAACTTTCTGCCTCTACACATTTGTCTGTTCTAGATATTTCATAGAAGTGTGAGCACACAGTATTTGCCCTTTTGTTTCTGGCTTATTTCATTTAGCACAAAGTTCTGCTGGTTCATTTATGTTGTTGCATGTATCCAAATTCCACTCTTTTTTAGAGTTGAATAACTAATTGTATGGTGATGTCACACATTTTTGGTTCATCAGTTGACAGGTCGCTCTGACTTTTTGGTGTGACATCATGAATAGCGCTGCACGCAGCTCTGGTCGACATACACCTCGCTGGCTCTCCATCACATCGTCCACAGTTGCCATTCACCTGGTAGCAAGACCACAACAGACAGCAGGTGCTCGTCTCCCATGAGGGCTGGCATGGACTGGTCTCGTCCTCTTTGAATTCTGCACAGTGCTTTCCACATAATAGGTCCCCAATGAGAAGTTAACTGAATTCCATTGCCAATTCCCCTTCTCCACCAAAGAAAATTTCACTTCCATCCTCTACAAATAGAGAAAAATGATCCCTTTCCGAACTTCGGAGAAAGTCAATATAAACTACACAGCTTAAAATGGAAAGTGTTTCTCCAGTCTTCTGGGGCAGTGATTTAACAAGGAATAATAATAAATGGGCGAGGTGTCAGAACCATGTCAATAATAAATGACCTTATTACTCTGTAACCGTGGGGAGCTTTGAGTTTCCAGAAAAGTTGAGTGCCAGCTATTATTTGGCGCTGAATAAATCAAAAGCTGAGCAAATATCATTTAAATAATCACATGCCAATGAAAAAGAAATCCAAGAGAAAATAAAAGAGTAATCCATCTATGTACAAAGACTGAATGTCTCATATGGCCAAAAATAAGTAACACTTCTTACCGAAAACTAACTTCACGCAGAGACATTAAAATCTGAGGGATAAATCTAAACAGTCTTCATCAGGCCTAACAGCCCTTAGAAGCCTCTGTTTCTTTATCCAAAATGAGCAAGTTGAACTCAGTGAACTCCAGAGTCTCTTGTACCGAACAGTAAGATCTAGAAACACAGTGACAGTGTCTCATTCATCAATACATTCCCTACTATAAGGTTCTGTAAATGAAAATTGTAATGGTCTGTGATTCAAGATTGCAGTTGCCATGACTGTGTCATTGGTGTGTATGGTGGAGCTGGTCCTGAGTCACCGTGACTCTGTAGGACAGAATAGAAACGCCCCGTAGGATTTTCTAGGCTATGATTTTCACAGGAGCAGATGGCTAGACTTTTTC